TGGCTATTTGATGAGTTCAAGGTTGACGGTAATTTTCAAAGTATAGTGTGTGATATTCCCCAGACCCAGAACTACACATTTTCCAAACTGATTTTCTGTTACCCCTAATTGTTCAACGTTCATTCATCAACAACTTGTTAAGCATCCACTGTGTGCCTAGCCCTGTGGGAATATTAGTCATCTAAAATATGATTATACAGATTATTTGGGTTTTAGAACTCTGTCTGTATGTTGAAGGACGATGAGGAGAGGATGCCTCTTTTCCTCTCTAGGCAGAGAACAAGGGCAAAGTGGCCCAGAACAGAGCCTGCCCTACCCAGGACTGTTGGGCTCATGCATGCACATGTGCACATCTGATCTGTCCTGTAAAGTATGCTTAGCCTTGAGCTTTGTGAGGGCAGGGACCATGTCTTTCCTGTGCCTCACACAGAGCCCGGCCTGGAGCAGCTGCTCAATGTCAGTGATAAATGATTAAGCAATTCATTTGGTTAATTCACTAGGAAAACTTGGGCTGGTTGCTTCATTGCTCTGTGCCCTCGTTTCCTCGTTTGTAAAAAGAGGATGGAAAGGGTACCCATCTCACACGGCAACTCTGAGACCCCGTGAAATAATACAAGGCACTCAGTGAGCACCCCACAGACTGCAGTTGTCATTCCTGTTATTGTTACTGGCTGGAGGGGTGACAGGCACATTCTTCTATGCCAAAAGTGACTGTCCATGCCTGATTACCTCGTGACCAGGATTTTCCTTTCTTAAAGCAGAGCTGGAGGCCACATGGCCCAACTGGTCTGAGCCCTGAGGGTGGGACTGACGTAGTAACCCTGGGAGGGCACATCCAGTACCCTCCTCCCCCAGTGCAGCTTGGGCCAGGCCAGCTGGTTGCCACATTCCCCATCTCTGTGGGGGGTGGGAGGTAAGCTATGTTTTAAAAATGTTAGTGTTTGACTGGGAAACACAACCCCAAAACAGTGCCAGCCGAGATATCCTCACTCACCAGGATATCCACCATTGGCCTCTGAGTTGACAATGGATATGTATTCTTGTATGTGCCTGTGTGTACCCAAGTACCCAGGGACCCACGAGGACAGTTTTGTCCTATCAAGGAAAAAATTATCTCTCACAGGCCCTACCATGTCGCCCATTAACCACAGGAAGTTCTCAGAGCCTTGGCTATTGGGTGCCCTAAGACATGTCCCTCAATCCCCCAGAGACTGGGGGCCAGCAGGGCCTGGCCTCCTCAGAAACAGCTCTTTCTAGTAAAGGGTCTCTCTTCGAGTTGGCAGCTGATTTAAGACTCCAACCCTATAAGCCCTAGCTGGAACTTTTTCTGCCAATCCTGTGTCCTAAGACCAGGCCCCTCACAGCTTTCCAAAAAAAATCCTTGGGCACAATAACTCCACAAGGGAGAGCCCAGCCCTACAGCCAACACAGGCAGCCATGATGTCTAGCTACCTTCCCTTGCTAGGTGTGAGCAGTGTCTCCAAAGGCAAATAGCACCTCGCATGGGCTTGGGACCAAGGGCCACTGCATGCACAGGGCCTGCTCCTGTGCTGCAGGATGCTGACAGGGCGTCTCAGGCCCTTTTCAGGGAGGGAAGTGGACCTGGAGCTGTGGCTGCACAGCCTCCAAAAAGGAGAGCAATGAGGTGCTGGCCCTCCCCTGGCCCTTCCCAGTGCCCCAGTTCAGGACTCCTGCCTCTGCTGCATCCTCCCCCAAACCAGACTGAACCTGCTACCAGGGTTCGTAGGCACACAACCTTTGCCTTCTCATCAGGCCCCACACCTGGTTTCAGTCCTTTACCACTGCTGTCAAAATTCTTTTTTTTTTTTTTTTTTTTGAGTCAGAGCCTCAAGCTGTCCCCCTGGGTAGAGTGCCATGGCATTACAGCTCACAGCA